TTTTTCATCATGGTGGTATAGGCGTCAAGTGTGTTTACTTATGCAACTAGAGTTTTTTGTTGTTTTTTTTGTTTTATTTTGTTTTGAGACAGGGTCCCTCTCTGTCGCCCAGGCTGGAGCACAGTGGTGCGATCTTGGCTCACTGCAACCTCTGCCTCCCTGGTTCAAGAGATTCTCATGCCTCAGTCTCCCAAGTACTGGGCCCATGGCATGTGCCACCACACCTGGCTAAGTTTTGCATTTTTAGCAGAGACCAGGTTTCACCATGTTTCCCAGGCTTGTCTCAAACTCCTGAGCTCAAACGATCTGCCCCTACTCAGCTTCCCAGAGTGCTGGGATTACAAGGCATGAGCTACCACACCCAGCCTATTTTAATTTTTAATAGTACAAACATCCACAGATATAACCCAAAACAAAAGCTCTTTGGAGTCTGTAAATTCAAAAATGTAAAGAGGCTTTCAGACCAAAAACTTTGAGAACTACTGGTCTATTCCCTCACTGTCTCCAATTCCTCTCCTCTTCCCCTCTCAAATCCACTCTAGTTACAGGTTTCCCCATTACTCCACCAAAATTGTTCATAAGTACTGATGCTTTCCCATTTACTAAATCCAACGGGCAATTCCTCTCACTCAATCAACTAGCAGATGATGCCACAGCTGGCTCCCTCCTCCTCTTGATGTCTTTTCCCCTCTCTCTGGCTCCTTCCTTTCTTCCCACCCTCAATGTTGCACCGCCTGGACCTCACTCCTCTGACCTCCTCTTGTCTATTACCCACTCCAGTACTGTGGCAAATCTCTAAATTTGTATCTCTTGGCTGGACCCCTCCCTTGAACTCCAGACTCATCCAACTGTCTACTCTACACCTGTAGTTGGATTCTAAATAGGCATGCCAAACTTTCAGATAACTAAAACCTAACTTTCTCCTGCCAAACCTATTCTTCCCAATGCCTTCCCCACCTTATTTAATGGCAGCTCAATATTCTTCCAATCACTTAGGCTGACACCTTGAAGTGATGATTAATTCCTTTCTCTCATACCTCACATATGATACAGCCGGAAATCCTGCCGGCTCTGACTTCAAAAAAAACCCCCCAAAATCCAATAATCACTTCTCTGTTCCACTGTTTCAAGCCATCGTCATCTCTCACCTGGATTACTGCAACAGCCTCCCACCTTGTCCCGTTATTTCAAGATGCAAAGTGATCCTTTCAAAAGAGCAGATACCACACAGCTGAAAACATCCCCATGGCCTTCCCTCTTATCCAAAAACACAAGCCAAAATCTCTACAGAGGCTTACGAGGCCTACTACTTGGCTCCTGTTATTTATCTCTTCCTATACACTCCTTGCTCACTCTAGCCAACTTTCAGGACCTTCGCAGTGGCCATTACCTCGGTCTGAGATGCTCTCTCCTCAGAAATCCTTGCGACTCACTCCCTCAACTCCTTCCAACATTCGCTCAAAGGTCACTGTCTCTGGGAGACCCACTCTGATACCTTCCATTTAAAAGTACAACCCCACCCTTCCCTGCCACCCAAGCTTCATATCTCCCCTACCCTGCTCTACTCTTCTCACCCTACCCTCTCACCGCACCCAGCACGGAGCACTTTCTTGTACATTACCTATGGGTACTGTCTGTCTTCCCAATAGAATGAATGTTAAGCTCCGCACTGCAAAAATTTGTTTCGTTCACTGTGTCTAAAATGGTACTTGGAAATAGTTTCCAAAGAACATGTTGAACAAATAAATGAAATTAGCTTGTCTATCTACAAAACTTGGCAGGAGAAAGGGAGGTCAGACTCAATGTTCTTCCTGAATCAAACCTCAGATTCTCTGACCAGTCAGATACAGCTCATCTACACAACTGATCTGAAGCTTCTGGCAACACAGGGTTTGGCTCTGGTCACAGACCTGGCCCAGACCCACAATTCTAAGTGCCCACCTAAGCCAGGGGAGGATAGGCCATGGTCAAATTGGCACCACTAGTACTGTAAAGATTAGCTATAAAAGCCACAAAATGAATTAACAAAACAGCCTGGGAACTCACCAGTAACCATATTCCTAATCTTTCCCCCTCTTCTCAAGGTCACCTGTTTCTCCTAGATGAAGCAATCACTCCAATTTAGCCAAAACTCTGCCCTGCTAAACAGCACAAATCTCAAGTGTGGATATCCAAATGGAAGCCCTGATCTCAATTAGTTATGACAACCCCATAATCGTAACCTAAATTCAGGTCCCTCTTCTAAGGACAACCTTCCTACGCCAGAGCAAATCTGAATTTTAAGAGGTCTTTCAAAAGCAGAAAGGATGCGATGGAAATGGGAAGTGACAGCACAAAATACACTGAAAACACTGTCTAGCCAACCCTTTCGGTTTCTAATATAGCACTAACCTAAACCTAGCTTTGGGTAGTGCTGTTCTCCTACCCACGGGTGGTAGGACCAATTGACCCAGCACCTGGAATACATGTTTGTGGAATGAAAGAATTAAACCTAAGTGACTCACTCCAGAAATACATTCACTGAGAACACTGCACACGAAACCAAGCTCAACTTGGTATGAGCCAACCCCACCTAGAAACCAGAGGATAATGAAGGGAAAGGGAGGGAACCCACCCAAGTGATGGAAAGCTCCGTGCCTTATGGCTCCTAAGGCTCCCTGTGACCACTAGGAGATCAGCACTAGCTCCATCACCTCATCAAGACCAGCACAGTGTAAGAGCAGCTTACTTCTAGCTTACCATATTAAGGGAAAAGGGGGTGGGGGATGCTTGATAAGATATACCCATCCTTAATTTAGTAGGATCTGGGGTAAATTACTTAATCCCTTGCAGGGCTGTAAAGGTGAAACAAAATGGTACATGTGAAACTACCTAGCATATATGCTGGTCAATTTTCTCTTACACATACATTAAACTTCAGTCCAATTGAACTATTCTGCTGTTCCTATAAATACACCTTTGGGTTTTCCAGCTCGATTTCTGTCTACACTGTTCCCTGTCCTAATTTCCACGTCTACATTCCTCATTAACCCAAATTGGTCTAGTCTCTCAAATGTGCCAGGCTCCCTCTGGTTTCAGGTCCTTTGCAGAGGTTGGTCTGTCTGGGATGCTCCCTCACCCCCAATTCCCTCCTCTTGACTCTGTGCATCAACACCCGAAAGATCAATTTCCCTGAATACCTCTTCTCCTTAAACAGCTATAAAACAATTATGATTGGAAGAATCAGACCTAGTGACTCACTACAAAAATACTTTCATTGAGAATACTACACATGAAACCAAGTTCAACTTGGAGTTTCTCTCCCTAATTAAGATGCAGAATTCATGACGATGGGGAAAGTCTCTGATTTGGCTTATCATGTCACCCCAGAGCCTAGCACAGTACAGTCATGGGTCGCTGAACAATGGGCTGCTTAACGATCTCTGAGAAATGAGTCACTAGGCAACTGTTGTGTAATGTCAAGAGTGTACTTACACAAACCTAGATGGTGTAGCCTACTATACACCTAGATGACATGTATGGCTTATCATTCCTGGGCTACAATTCTGTACAGCATGTTACTGTACTGAACACTATAGGCAGTTGCAACACAATGGTAAGTTTTCATGTATCTAAACACAGAAAAGGTAACACACTACATCATAATATGCACTGTAACATTACAACAGCTGCATCACTAGGTAACAGGAAAATTTCAGTTCCATTATAATCTCATGGGACCACCATCATATATGCCATTCCTTGTTGACCAAAACGTTGTTCACACGGAGCATGACTGTACTTGACAAAGGAAAGCTCGCAATAAATTTTTTTTTTTTTTTTTTTTTGAGACAGAGTCTGTCTCTGTCGCCCAGGCTGGAATGCAATGGCGCAATCTCAGCTCACAGCAAGCTCTGCCTCCTGGGTTCACGCCATTCTCCTGCCTCAGCCTCCTGAGTAGCTTTCTTTTGACTACAGGCGCCTGCCGCCACGCCTGGCTAATTTTTTGTATTTTCAGTAGAGACGGGGTTTCACTGTGTTAGCCAGGATGGTCTCGATCTCCTGACCTCGTGATCCGCCCACCTCAGAATAAATTTTTTAAATAAGCAAAGACTTCTACATAAATATTCACTAATACATTCTTTATAGTATCTAAAATGGAAAAAATGTTTTCTAAAGTAGGAGAATGGTTAAATTATGGTACATATAACGGGAATGTCACACCGTCCCTGAAAAGCCATACTTTTAAAGTACGACATGGAGGAATGTTCAGATTAGTAATGAGTAAAAAGAGAAAGACCTCAACCAGCTAGGGCAAGATCTAAACTATGCAGAACTGGATGTGTGAGTAGGTGGGATACAATTAGAGGTAGAGTTTATTCTCTGAAAAACTGTTTGCCTCTTACGCACATTTTCTACAGTGAGCATTTATAATGATGAGAAAGAGTGTTTCTTAAAAAAAGGGAGATTCAGCTTAAACGCAACCTCCTCTCAGAAGACTTCTCTAGACTTTCCAAGTTGTACTCAGATAATTGCACATTTCTCCCATCAAGACATGGGGGGGATCTTTGATAAGAAGCACTTAGTTTTCTTCAACTTTGTAGTCCCCCCACAACTTCACAGGGCCCATCCCAGGGTCCAGAATGAAGAACCCAGTACAAGAAGTGGGCACACAGAAAAAAAAAAAGGGAGGCTGGGCATGGTGGCTCACGCCTGTAATCCCAGCACTTTGGGAGGCTGAGACTGGCAGATCACTTGAGGTCAGAAGTTCGAGACCAGCCTGGTCAACATGGTGAAACTCCTTCTCTATTAAAAATACAAAAATTAGCTGGGCATGATGGCAGATGCCTGTAATCTCAGCTACCCGGGTGGCTGAGGCACAAGATTCACTTGAACTCGGGAGGTAGAGGTTGCAGTGAGCCGAGATCCTGCCACTGCACCCACTATGCTCCAGTCTGATCGACAGAGTGAGACCCTGTCTCAAAACAAAAAACAAAAAAACAACAACAGAAAGCACTCACCTAGTTTAAAATCACCCAAAATGCTTAGCCCTGAATTTTAAGCAGCACATGTGACCTGGTCCATTCTGGTTTCAAGTTCAAAGGCATCAGGCCGGTCCTGTGGGTTAGCAGCTAACATATCTTTCAAGAGCTGCTTGATCCCCTCAGACATGGAAGTCCTGCGTTTTTGGGGGATGTGCAACTCCATCTTTGGGTTTTCTAGCAGCGCCTCACCAACAGGGACGATCTCAGTCCCCTGTTTAATGTAGGTCCCCAGGAGCTCCTTCTTGGTCTCAGAGTCAATAAAAGTGATTCTTTCTATCATTGCCCAGATGATAATGCCCAGGGCAAAGATGTCCGCCTTGGCCGTGTAGTGTCCCTCCCAGACTTCAGGAGCCATGTAGAAGTCCGAGCCGCAGGCTGAGGACAGCCAGTACTTATTCACATTCACATTTTTGTTGTCTTGATTGCCCTCTTTGCCTCGGGGTGCCAGCCCAGCACAGACCTTGCTTAGTCCAAAGTCGGCCACTTTGAGGATGGGGGTGCCAGACCGCTCTGTGATGAGGATGTTGTCTGGCTTCAGGTCCCTGTGCACAATATGGTTTTTGTGCAGGAAGGCAATGGCGCTTGTGAGCTGTAGCATGAAACTTTTGTTGGTGGCTGGGTCCGGCCTCCGGGACAGGACATACTGATTCAGGTCTCCACCTTCACAGAACTCCATGACAAACCAGAGATAGCAGGGCTCCTCACCATAACCCAGGATCCTTTCTCCTAAATCAAAGAAGACAGGAAGGCGCTTGAGTGAGATGGACATAGTCACACTTCTTTTGAACTAAAGGACGCAGTGTATTCAAGAGTGACATTGGTGACAAACAACTGCTCCAAGGGGACCCGCAAAACTGGCACTGAGTCCCTTTCTACTCACACAGAACAAGTCAAGGTATGACATGGGCACCAGGGACTGGTGTCAGGCACCTGGGTTTGGAATGAGGCCCAGGTGGAAACTCAGGTGTTACTGCTGTCTGGTGGACCGCAAAGCCTTTTTGTTTCATTATACTGTCTCCAAACAGGCACTGCCATACCACCCACACCTCCCAAGGTTGCTGGGCAGATGGGACAAGGAAAAGCATGCAAGAAGGCTGTCACGGGTCTGCTGCTTCTAATATCATTGTTACTCCATGCGGAGCAAATGACCTTCCCTCTTTTTTTTCCTGACTTACAGAAGGATTCTTGCTAACGTACCTAGAATGGCACTACCATTTCCTTTATTTCAGAGGCACGCTCCTACAATTTCCTTGGTTTACTTCAGAGGCACACTCCGATCCATCAATATTTGCTGCGAGCCCACCATATGCCTAGCACAAGTTAGCTACATAACATGCCCTGTCTCTATGAGGCTTAGTTTCAAGGAGATGACAGGTATCCACAGCAGCAACCATCAAAAGCCGTACATCTCCATCAGAGTCAACACCTACACACAGTGAAATGGGGGCAGGAGCCACCAGATCTAAAGGTGTCAGAGGGGGCAGGACTGAACTTACCCTGTAAAAAGGCAGGCAGTAGATCAGTGGGGGAGCAGGAAGGTAATTCTAGGCTGAAAGATGGAATGGATGATGGAACACACGGACAAAAAGACCAGAAAGGTGTAAATAGGAAGGCTGGTGGGAACAGCAGAGTCTAAAGTCGATGTACAAGATAAGATTTAAATTGTGTGGGCTTGAAACTCTAGGAAAGCTGGTAACCAACCTCTCCAAGCAAATCTCAATATTCTTTATAAAGCAATTGACAGTCCAGTGAATCTTTATGTGGATGTTGTTTGATGACTACAACTGCTCCCGAAGCTAAGTCTAAGAAGGCAGATGTTTTATCTCACTGATGAGGAGAGGCTGGGCCTGCAAATGTGCTGCCTTGCTCTGGGTGGTCACAAGGTTGTTTGTAACTGAGCCAGGACCTGAAGAGAAATCCTCTCTCTGGCCCCAGTATGGAGTATCCATCCTACCAAAAATGACTGCACTTCCTCAGATAGCTTCTGGCAGAGGGTTCCTTTTACTAGTCATTTACTCTATTATAATGAAAAGCAGTGATCTAGGTGAGACTCTGCTAACCCAAACAGCCCTGAAATTACCAAGGCACACAGTCTACTAAAGCCAGTGGTCTGAGTTCTGGGTTGGACCAAGACGATGTGACGTAAAAAACGAAAGCTTGGGCCCGGCGCGGTGGCTCAAGCCTGTAATCCCAGCACTTTGGGAGGCCGAGACGCGTGGATCACGAGGTCAGGAGATCGAGACCATCCTGGCTAACACGGTGAAACCTCGTCTCTACTAAAAAATACACAAAAAAACTAGCTGGGCGGGGTGGCAGGCGCCTGTAGTCCCAGCTACTCGGGAGGCTGAGGCAGGGGAATGGCGTAAATCCGGGAGGCGGAGCTTGCAGTGAGCTGAGATCCGGCCACTGCACTCCATCCTGGGCGACAGAGCGAGACTCTGTCTCAAAAAAAAAAAAAAAAAAAAAGCTTTAGGTTTTTTATCACAATCGGATAGACCTCACTTCCCTTGTAATTATATAATTTATTTGCTTATATTACTCACAATCAAAGTAACACAGGTAGAACCAGTTTAGGGCAGATGTTTTTTGTTCTTTTCAAATCAGTTATTTCCCCTCTCATAATCCTCTATCTAGGTCATGGGCAGAGGCCCTCTATGTAAAAATACTGCACAATGAAGCATCAATCTGAAGCACAAGTCAATCTAGATGCTAACGACCCACAAAAAGGAGAGCAAGAAATGTGTATTAGAGGTAGAACCAGAAAGGAAAAGATTAAAAAGCCATCCAGTTCCCTTTGCAAAGGTCACATCAGAAAACACTGAAACTTCTGGTGGGAGAATAAAGAGGAATGATGATTATTTTATATACAAAGTTAGTAACTATGGCAACCTAAGGAAAAAGAAAACAAGTCTGCAAAACAGACTATAATCTAAGTCCAGGTTATGAGAATCCAGGGAAAGAAAAAACGGTAAAAAAAAAAAAGACCCCAAAGTTTGTGAGTGGTTGGGGGAGATTGGACCCTCGGACTGAGGAGCTGTTCTGAGGAAGGAGCTAGACTCAGGAGATGCTACAGGAGGGGCTGTTTGTTGAGAGGAAAATTCTGGACAGGAAGAAGTATTCTCAGAATCACACTCAGCAACAGTGGGTATGACAGAATGGAAAACTGGGAGCGCAGCTCTTTGTCCCAGATACAAAAGTGTTATTATTTTTACGAGTCAAGGTCTCACTCTGTCGCCCAGGCTGGAGAGCAGAGGTGCGACCATAGCTCACAGTGGCCTCCAACTCCTATGCTCAAGTGGTCCTCCCGCCTTGGCTTCCCGACGTAGTTCCATAAGAAGTACTTTTGAGGCTGGGTGCAGCGGCCTCAATAGTCCCAGCTTCTCAATAGCACCCAGCCTCAAAAGTACTTCCTTGCGCAGGAAGGGCCCGTGGACTTACTTCATGAGAAGCAAGGAAAATACAGTGAGACTGAGGTGTGATGAAAAGATGGCTAGAACCCTGGGCAAGTCCCTGAACCTCTCTGAGCCTCAGTCTTTTTGGTACTTCAGTCTTCACATCCATCAAATGAGATAATGAAAGTATACCACATGAGTACTGTGAATTAAGTCAGATATGAACTACATTTGGCAAAATATAAGATCTTTTTGGGGAAATGAACCACTGACCATCACCAACATTATCATTTCCACTCAACCCCAACCAAATCCTTGGAAGTCACCGATTTCAATAATCCCAGTGCTGTAGGCCATACAAGTAAGTTTTTACATGTTAGGCAAAAGATGAAATTTAGATCATCGAATAAAAGTGGATTATTCCATCTAAGACATCACACTTCTTAGGCTGTAACAGCTGAAACCCATGTTCTAGGTAGACCAGGTTACTCCTATTTGAAGTGATCCCTCTCCCTAGGCCTGCTGCCCCCACAATCTCTGCAGGTACAATTGAAATGTGCACCTTAAGGCTAGCTGCAATGCCAATCTATCTTACACTCACCTGATTTCCCAGTACCTTCCCTCTTCTGACCGGCCAAGGCCCTAGTTTCATATTTTTATTTTAGTTTTTGTTAAATTATACCAGATATCCTGGTCAGCAATCTATGGCTTAACTCTTCTACTTAACCCTGAGAAATGCTGGCACATTCTGCAGATGTTTTGAGGTCGGGGGACTAGATTTCTTACTCAGTCTTCCGGCCTCCCCAGGGAGACCTACAGTCATTTCCAAGGTGCCTGTGCATTGAGGAAGGGAAAGTAACGAAACTTTAGTGGATTACTGAACACTAGTTCCAAAAAGACACCAATTCCCAAAGAACCAAAGTGTCACTGCGGTCCACCAGTCAGAACAGGACTGATGGAGGGCAGGTGATCCATGGAGTTTTAGCTCAGGCCCAACTCACAGTGGGCCCCTGACCCCACCCACAACTGTGGGTATTTCCCCAGTTTCAGGATATATAATTGCAATAGACATATGCAGCAACCACTAAAATCCCCACATGAAATTCAGTTTTTTGAGCTGAGAGGAACAAACAAAATTTACTTAAGTTTTATAATTCCCTTGTCCGGTATAATCTGACAGTTGTATAAGATTAATAAGAGTTACAAATTTAGCTTACTTCCCAGAGAGGGAGAAAACAGACAGGTTATTTGGCCATAGTAAGGATTTGAGGTAAATTAGCCTGTGAAAGCCTACTGGGTTCCAGGTACTATTTTAAAAGTTTATTATGCGAGTTGTCTCATCTTACCAGGCACCATTTTACAGGTGGGGCAACTAAGGCTGAGAAAGGCTTCAGAGTCTGCCCAAGGGCGCTGCCATGAGTAACTGGGGAGGATAGGAGACAGCCCCCACAGCAAGTTCCCCCCCAGACCATGCTGCCTCCCAGCTCACAGAGGGCTAAAAAATGTACTTCCGAGAGCCAGGTCTGCCTTTGGGGACAGTTTTCCTACCTTTCCCTCAAGTCTGACAGTCAGGCGACCATAATATAAATTAGGTATTTCAAAACATATCCTATGCCAGTTCACGGGGAGAGAAGATGCTTAAACCCAAGAACAAAACCAAGCAGGTGTCTCGCATCGCATTAGTCATGGAAATTGATCAGTAGTGCTGAAGCTCCCAATAAAACATGGCTTGCTTCGCTGAAAAACGTGAGGCCAGCAGGCTTAGCATAAGGACAAGCCAGTAGGAGCTTTGGAAAGACAGGCACTTCCTGGAAAGAAATACAAAATGCTCTGGATTTTACAAGCCTATCCTTCAGGCTCCTCCAGAAGTTAGATTTCCAGGTTTTAGTCAACGCCACTTAAACAATTTCTGAGCACACACTGCTCTTGAGACACAGAGGTGCAGTGAGATGAGGGGCACCCCTGCCCTTACATAGGCTTCTGGCCATTAGAAGCAGAATGACTACAGCTGTAAGAACTAGGCTGCAGGCCCAGATCTGCCAGGAGTCGGGAGAGAAGCTGGGATGAGAGGAAGGCAAGCTGAGAATAACTGCAAGAGGCCCTGCAGCTGTGTCTCCCAGGATGCGGGGAGTGGGCACAGGAGCACCAGGGTGTGCTCCAGGGACACAAGCAGTCTAGGTAATCACAGAAGAGTTCCAGTGAATGTGCCGCAACGAGGCTGGAGCGCTTCTAAGGCGGATTTAGACTCCAAGAAATGGGAAGTGACCGAAAGTTCTTAATATATTTTATTTATTTTCTTATTTTGAAACGGTCTAGCTCTGTTGCCCAGGCCGG